GCGGCGTTGACGCGATGACGCCGAGGGAAGTGGCGCTGGCAAAACGCCGGAAAAACTTTGCATATATATCGGGCTTAAATTAGGAGTCAGTCCGCGCGCTTCAGGCAAGTTCAAAAAACAGAATTGCCTGTGAAGGAAAAGCAAACGGAATAGTTTCATTGTGAACAACCACGACTATGGGGATAGAATATTGTACCACCGTGACCACACCGACAACGCCCCTTCGTAAAGTCACATAAAGCCAAATGCAGCCGTGTGTCGAGCCGCGGTAATCTGTCAGTTTTTGTTTTCAAACCTGTGCTCATAGACTCATAGAGTTTCTCAAGTCGTATTTCTGAGAAACTCTGTGCATGTGCGCCCGTGCCCTCACGAGCTGTGAATTACTTTACACACTGTGCTGGTTACACACTCTGTTGTCCAGATTGCCTTGTTTCCTTTTTTTTTTCTTTCACGTGGCTATCCAGTTGCCTGCGACCGCCAGGCAAAGACGGAGTGGCGGCCCGGAGTGGCTGCAACAGCTGGAACGCGCTTGCAACTACCGCGGACACACTAGTGTTTGCGTAGAACGACCGTGAGACGTTATTCGCGTGCGGCAATCGATATGGAATTCCACGCGCAGTGAACAGTGTACGCAACGCTGGCTCAGTGACCCGAAATCGCCCACAATGAATCCGCAAACAAGGACCGTGGTTGAGCGAACCGCAGCAGCGACTTCGTTGCCTTCCATGAACAGCTGTGCACCACTGCCGTGCATTAATCTCGCATTCTACGGTTCCCTGTACGTATAGTTGAAGGACGCTCGTGCTGCTGTAAGCATCTAGTGCACGCGCGCGTGTTTCTAGTCTAGCCACTTGTAAGGTGGTCAGAACTCCGCACCATTCTAGCGCAGAATAAGTGGGACGACTCTGACAAATCACCTAACTCTTGAAAAAGAAAAAAAAAACAACAGAACCGCTAGCCGGTAGGTCGGAAACAATTATCTATTTATAAATCAATCTAGTGAAGCAATACTGCGCTCTTTCCTGTCTCCCTTGTTTTCCTTCAAGTTTGTACAGCAAATCAATTTTTCAAGCAATCCAGTGGCCGTGAATATCTTCGTAGTTGGCAGAAACAGAAACGCTATTGCTAAAATATCGGCTGATGCGACTGTTAAGTCTATTCTCCACGCACAAGAAATTATTTGTACTGTTGCTAGTATGATGATGGCTAGCGAAAAAGAGTACAAAAACCTGCCAAACCGTACTTTTTTTTTAATGCTCAGACCAACTGGGAGAGACGAATGAGCACCATGCACGATTTCGCTGTGACAGTGCACAGCAACACAGAATTGAAAACAGAACTGGAGTACTTTAGTAAGTTTTAAGTGGTGGTTGCAAAAAAGAAAAGAAATAAACACAGAACAGTAGCTGAACTCGAGAACAGTGTCATGTTAACTTTTCCTTCCCTGTATGCTTTGTGCTGTGAATAATATTTATAATCCAGAGTGAAAACTGTCACAGGAATGGTAATATAAGTGCCACAATTAACCACTATGAATACTGTGTAAGCAAAAAAATCAAGTTCAAGGTTTTATTCAGCTGCTTTCCATATTTCAAACATTCCCACCTAGTCGTCCAGAAGGCATGGGAGCATAGCTTCTTTCACCTTGTTGCCTAATTCATAGTGGCATGTCAATGCAGTAAATACATGACCACTTCATGTCTTAAGTTTGAAACGGTGTTTAGTAGTTGGCATGGAATGGATCTAGCTGACCCCTTGAAATCAGTAAGTGCACCAAGGCAAGGACAGTGGAAACAAAGAGACTGACAGCTGATATTTATTGTAACACAAACACACCGTATAGGTATTGTCCTTGCTGAATACATGCTAACAGTGCGTGCTTGAAAACAGAGGTTATCAAAAATTTTAATATTGAAGCTGCTCTTTCGTGGCATCTACATACCACTGGTCACGAGGTCTTGTGGCATGAGACTTGACTGGGGCAACACCCTTTAGACTCGAAGGTCGTGTTCTAGAGCTGGGGTATCGTACATGCGGATGTTTTCATAGTGACTCGCAGTTTCTCATGGAGTCCGTGACTTTGTGCAATTGTATTTGCATTATTTATGCATCTATTGCAGCTAATAGCACTTTTATCACGTGATCTACAGGTGTGTCAGTAGTATAAACCATTTATTTTTTGGGGGGAGGGAGGGAGGCACTTTATGCTGTCACTATGAGTTGAAACATCACTGTGGGACGAAATCTCAATATTCTATAATCGCCACCCAGATCTTTCTTATTCTGGAGATGAGTATCAGTATCAAAGCCCTTACAGAAATGATCCACATTCGAGATATGAAGAAAGCGTTTTTTTCAAATAGTTTTTGCGCAGCTCTGATGTAGTACAGAAAAACAGGGACATGAGAAGGCACAAAAGGGCATTACAAAGTGCTCCTCATGTCCGTATGTCGTAATGTGCTATATGAAAGCTGTTCGAATAATTAACTAACTATGAGAAGCCTCATCTAATAGCTGCCCTAGGCGACCTTTTTGTGCAAGGCCTCCCACTCCATGCTTCACTGCTGAGGTGAGTGTGAGGCGCTTGTTCTAAAAAGTGTGGGAAGAGGGCGTCGGGGTTTGCTGTAAGGAGTGACGCACAAACGCGGGTGTGCCCAATGCAGCGAGCCACCAGCTTCACTGTATTGCAGAATGGTTGAAAGGCAAGCTAGTTGGTATAGATTCATACTGAAATATTGGCAGTGTAAACTAACGTGACACAAAGTGAGGAGAGAAACAAGCACAGACTGAAAGTTGGTTTATTCACCGAAGGTAATATATACCAGAAAAGAACGAAGTGAAAGGAAAATACAAGAGGGGATGTTCCACCCTCATCAAGTCATCCAGAAATGAGATTTCACAATCTAAAAAGGGTACAGATGATGAGCTGACACAACTCCCTAGTTTTTGTGTCACGATGGGAGTATAACACAGACGTGCACAAAATTCTGCTATATACAACCACACTTTGTGCCGTGGGCAGACAAGTGTAAATTCGGGGCCGCCTTCAGCGCATTGTAGGGCTCTTGCAGCTGAGCGATCGGGCAGCACTCAGTCTACCTGATATATATCCCGTGACAAGACAGTAGGATAAAATAAACCATGTTCGACCGACAATTAGTGAAACAATTGACATGTTCAACACCACAGCCTTTCTTCACAAGGCTTGTCTTCATTCTGCTTTTCAATTCAGTTCTGGAACACATTTGCTGCAATTTTTCACTGGTGGAAAAAACATCAAGGTAAAGTATTTTGCATATTTTTTTACAGCATGCGAAAACCCATGCACATACGGGACAAGTGCAAACATTTGTCATTTTTTAGCACCTTTGGTGAGGCATTCTTTTCGTTTCTTCCCTCGCAATACCTTCTCAGTGGAGAACACCAGAAGAATAGTTTGAAAGCCTAATTATTTGTTTTAAAAAACTCTGCCTGTTCGAAGGGACCAATCCTAGATTATTCTTCTTCACATTCTAAAGTAGTAAAATCAGCTATTATAATTAACCTTTTGAATTTGGCTGTAACCTAATCTTGTTACCATTAAAAATGGTCAATGTTTTTTTCCAAACAAACAAGCTATGATTGTGCTGCATTATAAAAAATACGCGTATCTCGACACCTGGTACTTGTAAAATATAGTAAATGATACATAACTTGGACAATTTTTGTAAAACTGACACGAGTGGTTTCTGTTGCACCCTGTTCTGATGCACATGTGCGAAAAACCATGTATCTGCTTTAAATAACTTTTCTGACTAATAAACCTTCAGTTATGAGAGCAAGTGCTGTCCTTGTCAGCCTCTTTTGTCCGTCAGTTTTTTAATGCACTTCAACAAAATTTTCAATTATAAAATTACTATGTTGCAAGAAACAGGCTTTTCTGTTTCCAGAAAGGCTGTGGTGTTGAACATGTCAATTGTTTTACTAATTGTCGGTCAACGCAATTTATTGCATCCTACTGTCTTGTCACAGGTAGATCACTGTCTGTCACAGGTATATATCAGGTAAATTGGGTGCTGCCCGATCGTTCACCTGCGAGAGCACTACAATGCGCTGAAGTCAGCCCCGGATTTACATATGTCAACCCACTGTACAACGTGTGGTTGTATAGTTGAATTTATGCGCACGCCTGTGTAATACACCCATTATGACACAAAAACTAGGGAGATTGTGGAAGCCTTTTTCATTAAAAAATATATTGAGAGTTGTGTAAGCTCATCGTCTATATCCCTTTTAGATTCTGAAATCTCATTTCTTGAAGACTTTTGATGAGGGTGGAACATCCCCTCTTGTATTTCCCTTTCCTTTCATTTTTTTCTGGTATATATTACCTTCGGTGAATAAACCAACTTTCAGTCTGTACTCATTTGTCTCCTCATTTTGCGCCACGTTAAGTTTTCTCTGCCAATATTTCAGTATGATTCACTGTTTTGATAGCGTTTGCGAACTGTAGCAAACCGCATTAATTCTCATATGCTTTCCTTTCCGTAAAGGCTAGAGGTGTTGTTAATGTACACATGGAGACAAGGCAACGAACTAAACAACGAACTAAAATATCTCTTGTTGCCATGCAGGAAACGTTTTTGACCCAGCTCATAAACCCACTCTCGAATGCAAAATAGACTGGGCAAAAAAAAAAAAGTGGCCTGAAATGACCTATATTAGTGAGTAGTAGTAGTAGACAGTCAAGCCAAGGAAAGCACAGATGATGTTGTTTGTGGAAATAGGGAAGGATCGAGAGAATGAGATGATAATTTGTTGTTGGCAGGAGCCAAATTTTTGGTCCAAAAGTTGCAGCTTTAGTTCCTGGAAATTATTCCCTTTACTATTGCCATAAATAACATCGTCTGTACATTCCTTGGCTTCATATTCTACTGCATCTCATTAATATTATGTCTAAAAGAACAGTAAAACTAGCTCTTGAAATTTGCCATCTTTTGTTCATGAATTGCAGATGCGTTTGAGCAGAAGCGGGCCACCACATATGAATAGGAACGAACGAGCTAGGTGTGCATCTGTGTAGGTTTGCCTATATTTTTGACACAATACTATAAAAAGTGGCAGTGGTATGTTGATATAAACTACAAAAAAAATAGCATAAAACAAATTTCATCAAAATGAAGCCTTTTCTCCATTCTGACTGCGCCTCCTTGTCACTTGCACCCTGTTTACCAGCCTGCTATGTAAAGATCTTAAACCTGCATGAAAATCATGCACTCGCCACAGTTATTCAATGTGGCCAGTTTGAATTGCTAGGTAGACAAGATGTCACAAGGCAAGTTCCAGAAGCACGGCCACTGGATAAAAAAGGAGGTGCGGCCTGTTGCGTGCCGTCAAAGCGGCGTCGCAGGTCTAGTTCACATCGTGCCCGCTCTGGCACCAACAGTTCTTCCAAGAGAAACTATTTTACACGCATTGCTACGCGTGACAGTAGGCCGTCAATAACGCATTTCGTAGTTGCACATCACAGGCTTGATTCTGAATGGTTATATTGGGATGTTAAACCTGACATATCAATCAATCTGAATCGTTATTAGAAGTGCCTATTACACCACATATGTGAACAATTTGCCCTAGAAGGGCCGATCTTTCATAGGGCATAAGCCTCAATGCTCTCCATGAATGCTGCCTGTTTGACTCCCTTGAAATGAAAATGGTCACTGATTCTGTTCATGGGAGGTAATCGTCAGGCAGATTCCATGGGCTGAAGTATCGGCCCACCGAAACGCAATGTGAAAGCGCGCACAATTCAAATGTAGGTCCTTTTAGTGCATTAACAACGCTGGTTGTGGTCCAAAGACTGAGTTAAACCAAGAATTTACAACACTAACAAAATGTATTCTCAGTAAAGGCATCACACAAACTTGTACACTCGGCAGGTATCAATTACAACTCACAAAATCACTAACAGGATGTTTAAAATCACGGAAACAAACTTTCCATGCTACAAATGTAACCTCACACATTAGAAACTGCGAAAGAACACGCAGAGGCCTTCGATATTTACTACACATGTGCACTCCACAATTGTTCGAACTTTTCTTGAATCTTTCTCTTCAAGGAAACACTGAAGCCGACTCCAGCGCTGAGCGTCGCTGAGTGACAATTTCAAGAACAGTACTTTCACGACGGCATCACTCGATTCTCCCACATTGACTGACCGGCACAACACGACTCACTCGAACCACTCAACCATAACTTCTTGGCCGAGTTCACCACCCGTCCTACCCTGCAACACCTCTAGTTTGAATCCTTCCCGGTTTCTCGAACATTCCAGGTAATTGTACTGCGCCTAGCACGTACCAGGGCTGCAGCCAGAGAAAAGGGTTTCATCCCGCCTGTTCATCTGTGAAAACGGTCTGCTCCAAAAAAGGCCCCGCTTCGATTTCTCCCGATCTGTGTGGGTTGGCTGTTGCATGTGTGAAGGGTAAGGGTGCACACCCTGAGTGCCTTTTGATGCTTGTTTTGATGTTTCGTTGCGTGCACCCTTGAAGGGAACGTTGGGCACCATGCTGTCCTCTTGAGGGGGCGGCGCGCGTCTGATTCAGTGCTCGTTTGTGACGAAAATAAGTGCTCTGTTACGAATAATGCACATACACATGCGCTGCTCGACAGCGCATATTGCAGGGGATTATGTATTGCTTCAAAGTAGCATTTTTTTTTTCACATTCGAGCTACTCAGCAGCATACAAAAGGTTCGCGTCGCCACACCACTAAAAAAACCCTTGGCCACACAAGTGCGCACCAACGAATCGCACTCTGCACAGGAAACATGAAGCAAGCTACCCCAAACACACAAGATCACTTAAAAAAAAGCATGAGAAAGCACATAAAAAAGCACATGGACACGCAAAAATCCTCCCGCAACCACATTGTAACATGAAGTGTTCTCCGCTTCGATGGGTGGAGTGTCAGCGCCCTTACAAAAAAAGCGGCCGCAATTGTCAACTTGGCGGAGATGGGCTCACCCATTGATAGCGACGCGATGCAATGGGCCGCACTTTCTTTTTTATCCAGGGGCCGTGGCAGAACCATTCACAGCATGAAGTGGCCATTCTAAAGAAGACTGGTTAAATTGAACGATAATATATCCAGTTCAACACTGGCCAAGTCTGCTGTTGCTCGAGGTGCAGTAATAGCTGCACTTTTATTTTGTATATATTGAAAGGACAATAAAGATCAAGACAATTCCTCTCGTATTAGTAAATTGAGCTTTTGTGGTACTAAAAAAGACCACGCTTGCAGGAAGAAGATGCTTAGTAAGCAAAAAACATGCCAAAATAAAATGGGGGTGGCATCGCCACCACGCAGGTCGCACACTATTTGCCGTGACGTCACATGTTTTGACGTAACCTAATGAGGCCTACGTAGTTACTAATCGGTAAAAACAAAGCAAAGTATCTATAGATATAACATTAAAAGTTTTGAATGAATTTTGTGGAGCCAATGACACCAAATTACGATATTTACACTTTGTAATCAGTGACATCACGTGTGGAGATTCTGGCACGAAATTTAAAAATTGCTTTCTCTTACTGTAGCACTTATGAGTTGTTTGAAATAGTTTAACCGGAGGGCTAACAGACAGACTCAAAATACTAGGGTGAATAAACACCGAAAGAAGCATGACGCTCAGAGTGGGGAATTGTGAAGCATTGAGAATGCGGTGTTTAAAGAATAATGTGGGCACAGTCACACGAAGGTCATTACAGCTTCTGGAAGCATGTGAATTTCTTTTAGTTCGTCTTCGTGAACGCTTTCATTATCGTTGACGAGTATAGATGCCATGAGATTTTCCAACAGTATGACCAATGATGACTACACTCATCACTAACAAAAATTGGTTCCACATGAAATTAGTGGCGACTCCATTCGCTTTAGTTCTACTTTTCAGTTTGAGATGGCTCCACCTGTCTTCAGCAGAGTTTATTTTTCCTCGTATCACTGCTTTGCCGCCTTCGATACTGAGAATGGGTGCACAATTAAAGAAATGAAGAAATGCTATTTAATGGAAATAATAGTATCGTTTCATTCATGAGAAAAAACCTCTACAAAGTGAGCAGGAGAAATTATTCAGTCATTTTCGCACAAGGGTCACTCCACATGGCTCGCAATATTCTTTCCAGATGCGTGAGCAATGGAGGCGCTCATCTGCTTTGTGGTGGCCACCTTTGTGTTCCTGCTGCTCTTTGACCACTACTGCCACGAAGAGAGTCAGCAGGAGCGCACCCCGGCGACCACACGGGACGTTGTGGATGATGGCTCAATGCCTGCGACCAAGAGCTGCTATTACTCCACCAGCCTGTTTGCAATGCTGGGTCTGTCACAAGAGGAAGTGCATGACTTTGCGGCTTTCCGTGACCGCTTTAGCACCTTCTCAGAAGTCAGTACAGCCATGCGACGGGCAGGTGAGGGCTTAACACCAACTCATTGGTAGCAATAGTGAAACGTCTTTGCTTAAATACTGCCCATGAGCATTCTTTACAGCTGTGTGCAAATTTATTTAAACATATAAGTCAGTTGTCGAAAACTAGGTGAAACTGCAGCCAAGTAAACTCAACCACAATCTCAGTGTAAGAACACCTAAGGATGCATTAGGGAAAAAATTCTGGGAAAACCTGCAATACATGGAGCATGATCCCAATAATTACCTATGTTCCACTGCCATGGAAGAAAATACAAATGACAGGAATATGTCTGTCGTGCTGTGACAAAACCTTTGCTCTCTTTTTTTGCGTGACCATTAATTTATTATGCCACCCATGCACCTATCACCGTGTCACGTGCTTATTTCTCTGGGCTTTTATCTGTGCCTTTCACAACAGAAGTACTTCGATCGATTACTTTGATCTGTGTCTTTTTCTTTGTTATGCACTATGTGTCTACTGCCTCTTTCTTACCCCTTTTTTTTGTCTGTTAATTCCAAGGAAGTTACCACTTAGCTGCATCCTCACCTTGCTGTCTCTCCTGTGCAACAGGGTTGCCCGACATCCATGTTATCGTAGGGGTTGACTTCTCAGCCAGCAACGAATGGCAGGGGAGGCGGACGTTTCGTGGCGAAAGCCTGCATGCCTTGAAGCCAGGTGCGCAGAACCCGTACCAGAGGGCGCTCTCCTCCCTGGGTGCTGCAGTGGGACCCCTGCTGCATGGCAATCCCATCCCAGCCTTTGGCTTTGGGGACTCGCTCACCAAGGAGGTGGACGTGTTTCCGCTCATTGAGTCGGGTGCCTCGTGCCTGGACTTCAATGACCTCATGTGTGCCTACACGCACACTGCCCACAAGGTCAGTTTGGAGCCACTGCTGTAATTACAGGACGTCGCAAAAAAAAAAAAAAAAAGAGGGGCAGGAGTGCTCTGCAGCGGTGATAAGATGTAGCTTCATGTAATCTCGAGGGCATAACTGGGGTAGGAAAGTGTTTGGGTGTTTCAACGACGAAGCAGGGGGCTTCCTCGGCGTGTCACTTGTGTCAAAGTGGCACTAAAGTCCTCCCAAAGGGTGCGCAAAAGAAACGTAGTAAATGCACGGCCACAACTGCATCACCACAGGTGCTGTTTCATAGTGCATCGATGAACACGGTGCATTGCAATGTTGCGCATGTGTAAGACGTAAGAAAAAAAAAAATTATCGGATCCCATCTACCACAGAAATCGACATTATGTGAAGCGTGCAGAAGGAAAATGACTGTTTTTTTTTTATTAAGTGAAATGAAACAAAATGACACAGAAATGATGTACATGTTATAGGCACAGGCATATGTTAAACAGTCGCCTCTGTTGTTATCTAACTTGTTTATAGTTGTGTAACGATACGAACAGCAACATGGGTATTAGTAGCAACATCAGAAGTGATAAGCCGATATGTAGCGCTTGTGCTTGTCAGGATGGCAGCCCTGGCTAGTGCTGTTAAGCCTTCTGTGTCTTTGGCTCTTTCGCTCTTTTTGAAACGAACTATTATGCTGTTAAACCACGGGTTTAAGGGCATTTCACATCGCCACGAAGCCCAACTTTGAGTGACATTCACATATTACCTGCGCATCGATTAAACTTTTGTTGTAAAAGCTTTAGAGCAGTTTTTTGGGGTTGGTATGCTAAACTTTAAGAACATAACCTGCACCTCAATAACAACAGACCAAATGGAAATCGTACGTACGACCCACAGAAGTATCGACACGAACTTGTGTTTGAGACAATCTCAGCATCTAGCTCTATATTTCTTATTCATCTGCATGCATTGTCATCGAAAATAGGGGTTATTAAGATAGATTGTTCATCTAGATCATACCACACATCTCTCATTTTCACTGGCAAGAGGTTTCTATATTTTCTGGGAGCTGTACAATCACAGAGTATAAATTAGCATAGATGCTGCACTGGTTGGGTTGAACAGGCCAAACCTGATTGTTGAAGAAGTATTGTCATGGTATGTGTAGAAAGCATCAGTTTACAGGCCTCATGTTACACATGCGTGCTAGACTGAGCACCCATGTGCTAGACTGAGGACCCGTGAAGTAGCAAGAAGGCCTGCCAAGTTAATCTGTGCATTTACGAAATTTGAATGGAGGGGTCTTCATGTAAAGTGCAATTAGGATAACAAGGAGACTGAGGCAGTGTAATGCATAAGTCACACCCCATTAATACAGATACGGTATGAGCCGGGCCATGTTTTGGGGACAAAGGTAGAGGAAGAGGAAGTTACTTGGTTGGGCCTATGTTTGCCATCATCACCGATCATCGCCTGATCTCTCCTGTAAATAAACACAGCTAAACTCAATCTAACCGTAACAGTTTTAAGGTGGAGGTGCGGGGTACCTAACCAAGCAACACGGTTCTGCAACAACCTGAGCTACGCCGAAGCCGCCGCATTGCTGGGCTACCCCCATTACCACTATTGGTCGAGATGTTTCACTGTAAAGACGGAACCCTGAACCCCACAGCTGACGGCACTGCACCACCAATTCTAGCGACACCTTTACTACCGACCTCAGCCGCGGCTGGTCTTTGGCAGCGTCAGCATCTGATAGAGCCCCGTCCTTTCGAGGGCAAATCTGGCGAGGACGTGGATGAGTGGATCAAACATTACAAGCGGGTGAGCAACTACTACTCTTGGGATGCGGCAACTCAGTTGACTAACGTGGTGTTCTTGAGGGACACGGCGCTCACATGGTATGAGAACCATGAGGACGCCCTGACAACGTGGGCCGCTTCGTGTCCGAAATCAAGGAGTGTTTCGGGGACACCGTAGCAAAGAAGAAGCAAGCCAAACAAACGCTGCTGCAAAGAGCCCAGGTCCCAGGCGAAACGTGCACGATGTACATCGAGGCGATCCTGAAACTATGCAAGACCGCTAACTCTTGCATGTCCGAGGAGGACAAAGTCGGCCACCTGTTGAAGGCCATCGTAGAGGATGTTTATCACTTTCTTATCGGCAAAGACAGCATTGGTACAGTAGCCGATGTCATACGGCACTGTCGCACGTTTGAGACGCTGAAGATGAGGCGCATTGCTCCTAAATTTGGTCGATTACCTAATGTGACCATGGTAGCGAGTGTTGACAACTACGCGCCTCCTGATCTTGCGTCTACAATATGCGAGATCCTGCGTGAAGAACTCAGTCGACACACTCACGCGACCCCTTGCGAAGCTACACCCTTGCCGGTTCCAGACCAGCATCAGCACCCTGTTTACATTGCTGCAGCAGGCATCGAGGAGTATAACTACGTTTATGGCACACCACTGAGGCCGCAGCGCAGTCACTACTAAGACACCAGGTACCAGCGCCGCTTCAGTTACCCTCGACAGCTAACCGCCGACTATTAGGACCCGAACGAATACGCACCTGTGTCACCACGCCCTCGCGATGCTTTCGAAAATGCATATCGTCAACCTCCTGTGTGCTACAGCTGTGGTGCTCCAGGACACATTGCTCGGTTCTGCCACCGGCAGAGAGAGATGACATTGAGATACGAGCCATTGTCAAGACCTCCTCGTGGTGGCCACAATTATTGACGATCCTCGATGGTCCACGTATCCCAATAGCACCCTACGACAAGGGAGCCGGCGTGGAACCTCCCCCGCTTCTGACCGTAGCTTGACACCTCCGCCTGGCCGAACGCATCGCTCTCCTTCACTTCTACGGCGGCAGTCGCCACCACCACCGCCGGGAAACTAGCCGGCGCGGCCGATGGAGGTGAGGTCGCACAACAGGATTCACCTCGTATACCTCCACCAGTTACAATGGACAAAAACCGGATATGTGTGTCAATAGACGAATTGTATGCAACGGCTTTTGTGGATACTGGTGCCACAGTTTCTGTTATGAGCAGTTCGTTTAAAGATAGCTTAGGCCGCAAAGTTATGTTTTCATATCAGGATTCTGGTAGATTTCGTGGCGTGGGCGGGGACATACTTCAACCCATAGGAGTATGTGGGGTCAACGTGTTGTTGGCGGGAAAAACGTTCCCAACTAAGTTCCTGATTCTGAAACATTGCACACATGATGTTATTCTCGGCATGGACATCCTCCAAGAGTGTGGCGCTTTCGTCGACTGCGGTACGGGTGGAGTTTCCGTTAGTAGTGGTGATGCCCTTCCCGCCTTAGTTGAGCAGCAGCTGCCTCTGGAAGACTTACTGATTGTTTCCAAAGAGCTGACATTACCACCATGGTCTAAGAGTTCAGTAGCCGTATCTACTCCAATAGCTGCAGTATCAGTCTTTGATGCCGTCGTTCAACCTCTCATGGTTCAGTGTGCAAAGAAAGATGTAATAGTGCCTCATTCGATTATTTCAATTACTAATGGCTGCACGTTTTTGTGGGCACTTAATTCTTTGTCTGCGCCGATTATCCTTCCTCGAGGAATGAAGCTCGCACTGTTTCATGGTGTCACGGAAAATTCTATTGTCGCCATTAACGACGAGGAAAGTGAGGAACGCGTGGGCACCTCTAAACGCAGTACCTTCCCTGAGTCCCACATTTTGAGCATGGTTAGCAAGACGCTACGGTCACATGAACAACAACAATTGGTCCAACTATTACAACGACATGGGTCAATGTTTGACTTGTGCGAAAAGGGTAAGCGACTGTCTTTACCATGCTCTCGACCCCAGCATGCAATCGACACGGGCTTTGCTCATCCGGTTCGGCAAAAGCCTTACAGGGTGTCGTCATCTGAGCAGAAAGTTATAGCTGAACGAGTTCAGGACATGTTGCAGAAGGGCGTTTTTGAAGAGTCGTGCAGCCCGTGGGCAGCACTTGTGATTTTGTTTGCAAGAAAGACGGTTCCTGGAGGTCTTACGTTGATTATAGACGATCGAATGCCTTGACTAAAAAGGATGTATATCCGCTGCCTCGGATCAATGATGTCATTGACTGTCTAAATTCTGCTTCATACTTTTCTTCACTTGATCTACGATCACGATATTGGCAGATCCCCATAAACCCTGCTGACAAAGAGAAAACGCCATTTGTAACACCGGATGGACTAAATCAGTTGAGTGTGATGCCATTTGGGTCATGCAATGCCTCCGCAACTTTTGAAAGATTTATGGACTCGATTCTTCGCGGACTGAAATGGGAGATCTGTTTGTGCTATCTGGATGACGTGATTTTTGGCCGCACATTCGAAGAACATAACGTTCGTTTGAGCCTCGTTCCGGACTGTGTGGGAAAGGCTGGCTTGGTCTTGAACTCCAAGAAGTGTCGGTTTGGTGAACGGCATGCCTTGATCCTTGGCCATTTGGTAGACAAAGATGGGGTCAGGCCTGACCCCCGGAAAATTGAAGGGGTCAGCGCCTTTAAGCCACCTACGTCTGTAAAAGAACTTCGCATCTTTCTCGGGTCATGCTCTTATTTTCGACGCTTTGTGCCTTAATTTGTGGACATCGAGTACCCATTGACCAGCCTCTTGCGAAAAGACAGTGCATTCAAGTGGACATCTGAATGTGACGCTGCTTTTTGTCAACTCAAATTTCTGCTGACATCAGAGTCAATTCTCCGCCATTTTGACCCATCTGCTCCTACGGAAGTACACAGCGACGCAAGCAATATTGGCATCGGAGGCGTTCTTGTTCAGCGTCATAATGACAGAGAGCATGTCGCTGCCTATACAAGTCGTTTTGTCAGCAAGGTTGAAAAAAATTACACTGTGACCGAACAAGAATGCTTGGCAGCCATATTTGCTATTCAGAAGTTTCGTTGTTACCTGTATGGGCGTCCTTTCACGGTTATAACTGACCATCATTCCCTATGCTGGCTCGTTACTCTCCGAGACCCTTCTGGACGCCTTG